ATCGAAGACCTGTCTAATTATTTCAATAAAAATACCTTGCGCGATTACCCACTTTAAGATGAGCGATTCTGATACTGGTACCCACGTGCCGTTATCAGAAGTGGGATGCGAAAAACAGTCGGATCAAGATACTCAGCCCCACAATCAACCTAGCAATAGTGGATTGCTTACCAATATGGAAGCCCTGCTAACCCGTTTGTTAGCAATGCCGCAGCAAACATCGCAGCCTGTAGCAAACACTAACGCGGTTCAGTTAATAAAGTTCGACCCAGATGACGAAGATGCTGATGTTAAGGGCTGGTGCCGTGTTTCGGAGTTGATTATACACAGCAAGAATTTAATTGGCGTGGAACTTTTGGTAGCTCTGACAACTGCATTAAAAGGACGAGCAGCATCTGTTCTGACTAAACTGCGTCTGGAAGACTTAACCTGGGAAGTTGTGAAACAAGCATTGCTGGCGAAATTTGCAGAGCCCAAATTGATGCAGGATTACTTTGATGAAGTGTTGCGCTTTCAGATCGGAACAAAGGAGACTGCTAGCGAATCCGCTATGCGTTTATGGGCACTAATCGAGCGAATTCCTAAAGACGAGATGTTAGAAGAGGCAATCACTGGGTTCGTTATTTCCGTTCTGAGCTCGAAAGACAACATGATTCGTCGTGAACTGAACTCCTATGCCATCACAACGCGTGCTCAACTCTTCCGGACACTAGGTGGGGTCTCTTTAAAGCGGCGTACTGAAGATAATGATGGTAGTGATAATAAGATAAAAAAACCTCGTCCGTCAGACTCGAAGTTCAATGGGAAGTGTCATCGGTGTGGAGTTCCTGGACACAAAATAGCAGAGTGTAAAAGGCGACGTGACGACTCAGTTAATCGCGCTGATGGTTCCAAGGATCAGATCAAGGACAGGTCGACACCAATCACCTGTTTCTCGTGCGGGAAACCTGGCCACGTATCTACGTCGTGCCCTGAGAAGAGAGGCGGCGCAGCGGTCAGGGAGGTCAACACCTGCGAGCACAAGACTTCGAGAGGTAAACTAACGACGGCATCTGGTGAGCATATCTGTTTCCTTTTTGATAGTGGCTCCTCTTGTTCTTTGATTAAGGAATCTGTGTCTTCGGATTTCCCTGGCATTGAACGCAATAACACAGTTTATTTGACTGGCATTGGGGGAGACGATATTGAGTGTGATAGACAAATTTCTAGCACTGTCCAAATTAATAATCTTTGCTTGACTCTCTTGTTTCATGTCGTTCCAAACAACTGCATTTCAGAAAACGTTATTGTAGGTAGGGACGTACTGGAAAATGGAGTACGTGTTGAGATTGATAACGAAAATCTCTTCATATCCACTAATGAGAAAATAAATTTTTGCGAAAGTGTACAAGGTATTGACGTCGCGGCCCTAGATACAGATTTAGTCGGGGACGAGAAGGAAGCCTTATTGGGTATCTTGTTGAAGTATACTGATCACTTTATAAGTGGTACTCCAACTAAACGTGTTAATACGGGTGTAATGAAAATTGAACTTATTGACCCTAATAAAATAGTCCAACGGCGACCGTACCGTTTATCTCCCATCGAAAAACAGGTGGTGAGGGATAAGGTTCAGGAGTTATTGAAAGCTGGTGTTATTCGAGAGAGTTCCTCGCCGTTTGCTAGTCCGATTCTATTAGTAAAGAAAAAGGACGACACGGATAGAATGTGTGTCGACTACAGAGAACTCAACTCAAACACGCGACCTGAGCATTACCCCCTACCACTTATAGACGACCAAATAGACCAGCTCACCGGAGCTTATTACTTTTCGTGTTTAGACATGGCCTCTGGTTTCCACCAGATTTTGATCCACCCAGAATCCGTAGAAAAGACAGCTTTCGTGACGCCCGAGGGACAATACGAATATGTTGCAATGCCATTTGGTTTACGCAATGCACCCTCGGTATATCAGAGGTGCATTAATGATGCACTTAAATATTTGAAAGATGGACCCCTAGTGTATATGGACGATGTGCTCTGCCATTCCTCTGACGTCACAGAGGGTCTACGACGGTTAGACCGATGTCTGGGAGCTCTGACGAAAGCTGGGTTTTCGTTGAATTTACGTAAGTGTAAGTTTCTTAAAAACAAAGTTAACTATCTAGGTTATGCTATCCAAGCTGGTGAGATTAGACCCAATTCCCTTAAAATTCAGGCTTTGGCCAATGCTCCTCCCCCGAAGACAGCAACTCAAGTTCGCCAATTTCTTGGCCTATCTTCATATTTTAGGAAATTTATCCCTAGTT